TATATATATATATATATATATATATATATATATATATATATATATTTGTTTATTAAATTTATATGCTGCCCATCTCCCTCGTAAAGTGACTGCAAAGCGGTTCATGGATGGTAGAAAGATAAAGAGGAAAACAATTAACATTTCTAAATGGTTCAAATTTAACATTTTAAAAGCAAAGTTAAGGCACCAGTGCACCCAAATGGGCTAAGTTGGTCGCCTCTTTACGTTGGCCTTTCCACTTCCTCGTGCCCTTTTCTTTTGAGAAGTTCTGCCATCATCCCAATGTGGGTTTTTAAAAACTATTTTAAAAACATTTGAAAGTTTTATTTTAATACAAGGTTGGAGAAAGGAACCTCAAACCCTTTAAAAAAACACATCCACCCAGCTGACTACCAAACCAAATGCAAAGCATAAACAAAAGTAAAAATAAACATGTCTTGTTTTATTTTATTATATGGAGTTATGATACTCTATAAACTTCCAAAGGTGGCTTTTAATTTGTTTTCTTTTAAACTTTCTTTAGGGACGGAGGAACTTAAACTTTTTTTTAAAACACAGCTGAGAATGAAAAAAAAAAAGATCTATCTATCTATTCTATCCATCCTATAATTTTAACAAAACTGTTTGCTGTTTTGATAGTACCACAATGCACCAGCCAGTGGCGATTTGGCAAGACAAGGCTGCCATCTAGTGGCCATGCCAAGCAAGAGCCAAAGACTTCTTAATTTCTACTTTTTCCCTCAATGGAGTTCAGGGTGAAGTTGTATATTTCAGTTTGTCCCAAATGTGTAAGATGAGCAAGACAGGAGCGGCGAGTTCTTATTTTCATCCTGAACAGGGAGATGTTTCATTCTGCCAATTTTGCCAACGCTCAACTCCCATCTTCTAACACGGAAACCATATGAAACCATACCAACGTTAACAAAATTGGCACAATTGTTGGAAGAGACAAAAAAAAAAAAAGGGACTGGATTTAATAGCCTAGAATGAATTTTGTTTCGGTACTGATTTAGGGTGCTTTGTAAACCCCGATGTTGCGATCTATAAATCACCTACCCTTGTTTCCCCGAAAATACAACCTACCCTGAAAGTAAATCCTAGCTTGATTTTTACTGGTGCTCCCAATATAAGCCCTACCCCCCCAAAAAATAAGCCCTAATTAAGATTCCGCTCACTCCAGAGTGGATGGATAAAAATTAAGCTAAGGTGGGGATTGGGGGGTGGGGGTGGAGCTGCCCTACTACTTACCTTTGGACAGGTGTAGCCAGGCCTCGCACACCCCGACACCTGCCTTGCCAGCCCATTTCTTCTGCAGCTGGCAAGGCTTTCCTGAAGGCCTCTGTGGCTGAGAACAAAGCTCTGGATCGATCCTGAAGGCAGCAGAGGCCTTCAGGAAAGCCTTGCCAGCCGCTGAAGAAGAAGTTCCTGAAGGCCTCTCACAGAAAAAAGGGGGCCGGGGGTGACGTGCACAAGTGGGGTTAGTCAGTGGATGACATCCCCCGAAAATAAGACCTGGTGCCTTTTTTTTTGTTAGCAAAAAAAAAATTAGAAGACAGAGCCTTATTTTTTGGGAAACATGGTACATAGGTTAGTATAGGTTTTCTCAACTTGAGTAAGTTTAAGATGGGTGGACTTCAATTGTCAGAATTCCCAGCCAGGGGAATTCTGGGAATTGAAGTCCCCGCCCCCGTCATAAAGTTGCTGAGACAAATTGGCTTGTGTCAGGCCCCATCCATGGTGGTTATTTCCGAAAACATGGCTGAGATATGATTTAGTTGTTAGTCTCGGATGCTTAACGGGTGACTCTCGGGCTGTCCCTCTGCCTGGGCCTACCTCGCATGGTTGCCATGAGAGGAATAAAGGGGTGGGGAGGGCTCTACAGGTTGTCCTTGACGTACGGCTGGTCTTTTACGCGACCATTCGAAGGTACGACACACCCCGAAAATGGGACTTAAGACCCGGATTCGAAGTTGCAATGTGGGCTGCGTTCTTTTAGGTGAGAGCAGTCTTTCAACTCTTTACAAATATATGTATGTATGTATGTATGTATGGGGATCTTTGGTTATTTGGGTTTTCTCCCGCGTAAAATTGGAAGTGTCTAGGCGACGTTTCGATGAAGTCTCATTCATCATCTTCAGGCTTGTGTCTTCACCTCTGTGCTTCTCAGAGTAACAGAATAAACAGAATAAACAGATTACTCTGAGAAGCATAGAGCCGAAGACACAAGCCTGAAGATGATGAATGAGACTTCATCGAAATGTCGCCTAGACACTTCCAATTTTACGTGGGAGAAAACCCGAATAACCAAAGATCCACATACAAATACCCGCGAAAACCTCAGAAAACATAGATAGATAGATAGATGATAGATAGATAGATAGATAGATAGATAGATAGATAGATAGATAGATAGATAGAGGATAGATCGATATAGATATATACATAC